GGGGAGGGGCCGAAGAGGAGAGGAGTGGAGTAGAGAGGAAGCGATCGATGCTCACCCTCCAACCCTCCAGCCTCCTCTCTTCGCAACCCCTATTCCAACGGCGGAGCGGTGGCGGCCGTCATGGCGGCGCATGCAAATCAGCATGGCGCCGAGACGCCCTCCCAAACCCCGATACTCGCCACGGACAAAACCAAACCATCGACCTACCGGCAGACAGACGGATGGACGGACGCTTACACCCTGTGACACAAACTAGGCATTTTGTACGTACAGCTTGTTATGGAAAAGCATCAACGGATTTTCCAAAAAGTCATGTAAATTTTTCTATTTTTCCATATTCGCCTGCTACTATACTTTCATTGTGAATACTACTCAATTCATCAAAACTACTATGTACGTAATTATTATAATTCCTATAATTACCATGATACTTTGTATGCTCGATCTATTCTGTAAGCATTTTTTATCTCCAAGACAGATTAGATCAAGTTGCTTGAGAGTGTCACCGTATTGAAGAAATAGCGTGCAGGTAACCGTAGCAAAAGAATAACGTTCCGTACCAATCACTTTAGCCTTGCAATTAAATCCAGGATATCCTTGAACGTGTTATACGTCCAATTGCAGTGACAATGCATTCGTTTATACATAAGCAGTATTAGTCCGCGTCTGTTGTATCATCTAATTACACGGATTGGAGTTCGATGGGTGTCTCGACCCTGACAATCAAACCTATAATATTTCCAATAGACATTTAATTAACGAAATGAGACATTGTATTACCTATGTAAAATTAATCAGCGATTTCGTATCGCGTTACGATTGATAAGCTTTGATAAGGTGAAAAACAAGTAAAAGAAAAATAAGAATTAGCAAGTGGAACGTTGTCGCAATAGATCAGACATGGTAGTAGCTATAGAAAACGACTAGACGCTGTGTTAACTGTCTACTGGCTGCTACAGACTCCAGTAGTCCATTCTGCAGTCTGATTACTGAACCAGTGTGTGTCTCTTACCTACTCGACGTAGTATAGTAACGCCTGTAGTCTGTTGTGTGTGAATTCTACGTGGCTATGATAGTATGCGGTTTACAGAAGGACCAGAAGGCGGAGAGAGTGAAAGAGAGAGAGAGAGAGAGATGGTTGAAAAGTGAAAAAGAGGGAGAGAAAGAGCGAAGAGAGGAAGAAGAGAGGGAGAGAAGCTTCGCCGCCCGGCGCATTTGAATACGCGCGAATAAATGCATAATAATTAGGTCAGTTTTGCTAGTCAGCTGATTCGAAACTACCGCCAAGGGAAACGTAGGTTAGGGACTCGTGTTAAACAATGATTCCACCCTTTGATATTATTATACAGGGATACCTAACGGTATATGCGTAAATATACAGAAAAGTGGATAGGTATGAACTTTATTAAAGATTGTGAAAACTTTGAATAATAATATTACTAAAAAAAATTTTTCATAGCACAATAATTAATTTAACGAAAATTACGGTAGTACTGATCGCTATGAATGGCGTATTTTGGGATCTATATTTTTGGTGGAACAAAGTAAATACGAACGATTTCAATCATGCGTCGTAAAAATAGTCTCTGAATCGTAAACAGTGAGCGTAAGAGAATCCCTCTTGAAGGAATGACATGAAGTTTCTGTAAAAGGGCAAAAGTCGACGAGGTCCCTGACACGGTAAAACGGAGTCAAGGTCGTTTTCGAGACACCCTGTAGAATCGCAGCGAGTACAAGAGGCGAACGCGAAGGGAAAGCGGAATCGCATGCAGAAAGCAGAGTTTGAGTTGAATTTGAGTCGTGACTCGTAAGGCAAAGCACGTAGTCCAGCACAGCGCAGCCCGCATAGCAAACGCGTCTCTAGTCTCCGACAGGCTGTAGTAACAGCCATAGTGTAGCCCTGTAGTCTCTACGTACCCTGTAGCCTGCAGCCTCGAACTGGAGTCTCATGGTTTTATGCAGACACTGACCTTCGACCCAACCCTCCTGGCAGCGGAGCAGGGAAAGTTTGAAATTCGGGTGCAAGGCCACAGGAAACGTATCCCGTTAGGTGAGTGTCTCCTGATAGTCTCATAGTGATAAGCCACTGGTTACATCGAACATAGCCCATACCTGACAATAATTTAAATTTACTAACAATCGATAGTCGATCGAATTCATTAGATTTGATAAAATAATAAATGACGTAATACGAAGCGATAGGTATAACTCACTGGTATAAGCTATCCAATGAAAAAATTCTACCTCATTGACATATGAGCTAGAGCCATGTGGTGAGAATCATGAGGTTGCACTGGGTTCGAGGAAAATGGCGGGGACGTCGTTTTTGGTGAGGCCGCCCTCGGTAGCATATCACAAGACATTAGCACACAATCGAATGGACGAGCGGACGAATGCGAATGCGAAATATATGCTATAAGCGGTGTTGTGCGCTTGAGCTGGGTCATAGGTCAGACCGCCAACTTGGTATCCATTGTATGGCCGCTGGGTTCTCAGGTACCAACCTCCAGCGCCAGTAGAACCAGACCCTCCTCCTTCACCACCTCCTCCTCTCGTGCTCCCATTGTTCAGTAGCTTCCACGCTTACGAATCAGTTTACTCCGCAATACGACTGGTCATTTTTGTATTTATTATTACTGCCTGAAGTAACTCCAAAATGGTTGCCATACTGGACGCTTATTATCGGTATCATTGTACAGTGTACATTGGCCTTCGTACCATTGTGGATCAAACGTCTTTTATTTTATTAGAGAAATTTTTTTTTTTCATCAGTGATGACTATCTATATACGGGATGACTGAAATAACTCGACGTAGTCGGTATGGAATGACGTGAATGGTCGAAGGGACCGGAAGCCAGGTATCCAGAGTCGTACCCGTCCCTGATGAAGGAGATGAAGAGAAAGGAGCCTAGAAAGACGTGACGAGTCTCTTACAAGTTTGAAGTCACGGAGATGCTTACACGCACCACGTTCTTAGTTTAGTGTTCGTATATACGTAGGAAATACGTGGAGGATGCGTGCGGAGGTTGAAAGAAATGAAATACCAAGAATCCTCTTTGTCCCTTTGGACAAGGAGACATTAACTCCTTGTTGAAGATATAGACAGAAAGGGAAACATGATAGCTTATTTTGTATCAGAGACTGTAGATTTTTATATTTTTCTAAAATAATGGTCAATCGAAATTTACGTATCATCGACTGTATACATGTAATTGCACTGTAAAATCTCGGTCACCCTCCCAGTACGTGAAACAAGGTTGACGATGGTGTAGGGAATAATGAAATACGAAATGGAGTCTATTCGATTTGACGAGGCTTTACAAATGGCGGTTACGGTAGGAGAAAGTAAGAGAGTAAACGATGAGGTTGCGCATGCGCGGAAGAGAGAAGGAGAGCAATAGGAACGGGTAGTGTCGACCACCCTCGAATTCGGGTGGTTTTTGCTGGCCATTAATTGGCCCTGCTATAAAATGTAAACGCAATGTATAGATATATATAGGAAGTATGGCTGGGCCACACAGGGGCATCACCACTACGCCTACCCCATTGTCATCAGCGTCGCCGTCACCATCACCACCCACAGGCATCGCGACGCTCGAATCGAAGCCCAAACGAAATAAACCTCGATGCCGCTTTGTCTGGCAAAAACTCGTCTCCTTCGTGGCTCCCATCAATCGTCTACCGAGTATACAAGATCAGTGATCATCGATCTTCGCTGTGTTATCATCTTTTAACCCTTAAAACTTTACTTCTGTTTACTCGTCAATTTTTCCCTCGTCGTTGAGAACCACTGGACGGATCAGACGTTGGCATGTACTCGCATCCTACGGACATACGAACAATGAGTGTCACTCGAGTTTGCAATTCGGCTTGAGAAAGAACGAGGAACACATCTTCGGGAGACATGCGAGCAGTTGTACCAACCGAGCGAAAGTTAATTTCCGTTATACTCGAATAGAGTGAAAATTTATGAATTTTTTTTTAACTATCAATGAGAATCACTGACACTAATTTCTTGTGTTATTGATGTAATCTCTTAATGCTACTATCCGTGTACAGTTGTACAAAAAAGTATGTATATTCTGTCAAAAAGAATGAATTATGTATACTTTTTTCAGACGCAAAATATGCATGCTATTTACATCACAACACTCGTAGACAAAATGTCCTGTGGTAAGAATAATGTATATTTGGGATTACCAGAGCAGTGATTAGTATTTGGACAAGAAACAAATTTTTGTGACAATGACAACAATTGTCGTGAGACTAACAAACTAAACTGGAGACACAAGCACAATGGCAAATATTCACAGAATCGTCATTGCTACTGGAATTCATTCTTGTCCAAATTCTAATCTTTGCTCTAGTAACAACTTTTCTGTGTGTAGACTCGAGTACTGTTATATTTCCATTGAAACGTTAGAATAATTCTTTTGTTAATTTATCTTAATGAGAAGTAACGTTATTTGTGAAAGGGGTATATACATACTTCATTGTACAACTGCGTATTGATTATAGTCAAACGAATGATATTGATGAGACGAGGTCGATACGATATGCACGTATGATCTCTTTTACAGAGGGGCTGAAACGTCACTGTCTAAATACACTTTAAAGATTTGAAAACGTAATGGCGACAGGCTTTGGGGCAGATTTGCATGTCACGAGCGCGCATCATATATCTGGATTTAGCACACACTCAGCTGAGCTTCTCTCGTGCTCGTTGCTTCCTCAATGCCGTCAGTATAGTTACAGGGGTGAGCTGTTGCTACAGCATCCACTGTCGTCGACGTAGATCAGGGGAGGGGTTGAAAGGCGAAGGGTTCCAGGAAGCTCTTTCCCTTTGGATCATGGGAAGATCCTACGTCGACGACGCAAGAGCCAGGATACCCTGGGACATTAACACCGTTGGATTACCCAATGAACTTGAATGAGATTTACGGGTACCCGACGATACGGATTTCAGCATCTTCCTATAGGTAATGACCCAGCCTCCCCACTGGTTCGGAGGATCCGAAGAAAATTGTCCCTATAGATCACCCGTCGATGTTGACGATGATTTACTATCGATCTCTTCGACGTTTTTTTATTATTTTCACAAATTTTCTCGAAATGAAATCTGACGTTAGGGGTGGGATTTCATCTCGCGCAAGCGCCTTGGGTCTGCCGGGAGTAACCAGTCGTGATTCTGGCACGCATGCACGCGCCTACGTGTATAATGGGGGTGTATAATACGCGCAAGGAAGACAATGGGGGCATTGTGCAGGTAGATACGTACAGAGCGTATAGGGCGAGCGTCGTTTGGGCATATTGACAGACTAATGATCGCGCGGAACAAAGGCCGGACCGTCACGTGGTCACGTGGTCACGTGATGGACCGTTTCCGGCGATGCGCCGCGAACCTCCCAACTGCATTCAACCCCGACCGATGACTCCCGAACAAACCAATGCAACGATGGACATCGATCAGGCGGAAACGTACTAACCAGCTTGGATGGGACCAGGTGTACAACCATAGGTATAGATCAAAGATCCTCAGCAGTTACATAACAGAAATATTGATAAAGATGAGAACGATACCAGGGATGCTTATCTTGGAAATCTTCCAAAGGAATAAAATACACGGGCAAGGAATTACTATATATATATTATGTACATATAGTATACGCAGTCCTTGAAATCCTGAACCACGTGGTTAATCGCACTCCTCGAAGTAATTAAGTAGCTTAGGCGTAATTGGGTGTCTCAAGAAGAAGGAGAAGAATCTGAAATAATCCTTTCTTCCTAAAAGTCCGGGTAGCCCTTTGACATTTATGGAGGAACTAAATGCGTCCCGTAACGAGACATTAAGAGATATTTAAAATCGTTGATAGGCATTCGAGTCGACAGGGAGGGTGTCTCGGTGGCTAGCTCGCGTAAGGGATGACTCCCCCCTTTCAGATGGCGCGAAAGGGTCAGAGTACTGGTGGTCCATTCACTATTGGATCGTCCAGGGGGAGAGATGATGGTATTTCGTCGAAAGGGTTGCACAGTTGGGGTGGGCGTTTTAAATGCATAAATAATGAGAGGAGCCTGTTACGGGTTGGTATTGGCTTTGTGGATACTAGGGACCCTAGAGATACTGCCACTATTCCTAGTAACTATGGCAATTGCACACGTGTTAGGTTAGGTTAGACGTATGCACACTCACACCGTATATACATAGTCAGTATAGAAGCCACGGCCTAACCGTATTTGCCGTGCTTAATATTTAGATGAAGGTGTTGGGTGTTGAGAGGGTTAATTAATACGAATTGCTTTGCTGGGTTCGGTTCCAACCCTTACCCTACAACTTTCATCTTTACCCCTCCTTGTTTCTCGCTTGCTAAAACCCACCCCTTAGTCTCACACCAGAGTCACGCTATACACTTGGCCGATTTAGAACTTTTGGTTACTAATGACTTTTGACCTTTTAAATATCTTCACGAACTCAACCCTCAACCCTTAGCTAGTATAATAAAAAAAAAACATGATTATAATTTTACTAAAAATATTTTTATATAATTTTCCGATATTCGTCTAATTTCTGTTATATAATTAATTTTATTTTTATGATTGCCTCTTATCAGTCATTTATTCCAAATTATCTGTCTGATGTTTTCATACCTGGTACCAAGGAACATGGTCTGTTAGTTCGTATCTGCGGTGGTGAACGCAGTGTTGTGGTTCCGCGGCTCTCTCTGTCTCTCTCTCTCTCTCTCTGTCTCACGCGAAAAGAGTGAGCGACAACAGGCGAGAGGACGAGAGATTTCATAGGGTAGGTAACAACGTAGAACTTGAGCTGGAAGGAGAAGAGCAAGAGAGGAATGGAAGCCGCTAATGAGGCCGTGTGTAATTAGGGAGCTCTCGCGGCCTAATGAAGCGCTTACCTACCTTACCTACCAACCCTCTATTCACCTCTTCCTTACCATTCCCATCTTTGCACATGTGTATCTATATATATACACAACCCAAGCCGTACATTCTCCCACATACCTACGTAGTACGGAAGGCATCCAAACCAAACCACG